AGCCAAAACCTTTGAAGCAATTTTGTAGAAGACATTGCATAGGCTGATCGGTCGAAATTGAGATAAAAGAGTAGGTTTTGATACCTTAGGGATTAGAACCAGAATCGTGTCATTGACACACTCCGGGCTTTCTTCTCCTCGCACTATACTCAATACCGCACGGGTGACCGCAGCTCCACAAATATCCCAATGTCGTTGGAGGAAGTGCGCGGGGAACCCGTCAGGCCTAGGAGCCTTCGTTGGGAACATCTGAAAAAGGGCTTTCTTCACTTCTTCATCTTTATAGGGCGCCAATAGAGTGTCATTCATTGCTGCTGTGACCTTTGAGGGTACATGTTGGATAACATCATATAGTCCCTCCACCCCCTCTGATGTGTACAGAGTTTTGTAGAAATCTAGAGCTAGTTGCTGCATTTCGGATAGGTCATCCGTTAATTGACCGTCCTGCTTCTGCAGCGCTTTGATCAGATTTTTGCGCCTTCTGTTGGACGCCCGGAGATGGAAAAAGTGTGTATTCCTATCCCCTTCTGACAGCCATGCCACTCTTGATCTTTGGCGCCACATTATCTCTTCACGAAGATAAATCGTTCGTTTTAATCTCAATATGGCTCGGTGCAGCCCTCAATGGATCATTCCTTAATCTTTCCAAATCTCTCTTCAACCTCTTTATCTCTGCCTTGACACTGCCGAAAGTTGACTTACTCCACTCGCCCAAGTTGTTAGATCGAGATTGCAAGTTCGCTCGAACTTCCGCAGCCGTAAGATTAGGGCCGTTCGCCTCCCATGCATGTTGGACGGTGGGGATTAGCTCGGGATGCGTGTCCCACATGCACTCGTACCGGAGCTGCCGCTGCACTTGCGTACTTTCTGGTGGCTCAAGCATCATTCTGATGGGCGAATGATCAGAAGTAGCGGCTGTTAGATGCTCCACAGCCGCTAGTGGAAAGCATGATCCCCACTCGGGAGTGCACAAAGCTCTATGTAGTCTGACTCTTGTGTAAGATCCCCCTGTAACTTTCTTTTCGAAAGTCCATTTGCGACCCTGGAAACCAAGGTCGATTAACTCGCACACGTCAACTGCGTCGCGGAATCCTTGAATCTGAGTAGCGAAAATGTTAACTAAGAGCATGTATAGTCGGACCCTTCAAACCCGCCTCAAACACCAGGGCAGGACACTCGGTCACTGATCGGTCACGAAAAAAGACCTAGATGGGCCCCTCAAACCGACCTCAAACGCCAGGGCTGACTGGCACCCCTCATTTCCAGCCCAAATATGGAGCGGATATGGGGGAGCTCGGGCGCGCCCGGACACGACCACCTAGCCCGCACTGACCCGCATCTACCGCACATATATTCGTCCCCATCCGCTCGTCGGACCAAACCCTAGAGCCACTTCACTCCACTCCCCGCCACTCCCATCTGCCACCGAAGATTACCTCCGGTGATCTCCGGCCTTCTTCGACATAGCGGGCAGCGGATCTGTGTCCTTCACCTCTAGATCCATCGACCATGAGCTCATCCCACGCGGCCCCGAGGAGGAGATGGCCGTCCGGGTTCCGCTCCGCCACTCTCGGGAGGCGGCTGCATGACGACAACGCTTAGACTCGCAACGCCGGGAATCCATTGCATCCGCACAACCGGTTCTTGGATCCGGCGTAGCTACCTCACCGGAGGCGGTGTTGTTCGTTTGGTGTCTGAATGCCGTGGCGAAAACGCAACCCCTCCGTTAGCGTGCCGAGCATGAAGCATGGCCCTCCTCGGACGATGTCATGGCGCGGCATGCTCGCCGGGCGAGGCAGCATGCACATGAGGCGGTGGAGGCCCTTGCGGTGGTGGACGTTGGAGAGGCAGAGTCACACTCTCCGGCGCCCCGTAGGGTGCACCAGTGCGGGCGCCGCAACAGCGTCCTTCCCTGGAAGGACCCGTCATTGACCTCACGTCCACCGGCACCGGCCATGTTACGGGCTTCGACGAGGAAAAGTAGGGCATGGGAGACGGCGGTAGATCGAGTCCCGTGAGCCGGCTAGTGTCCCATGTCCTACTCTACCTCACCAGCGGCCGGACATGGGCGCGGCGGAGCCGGATGACCTCCGCTTAGTATTAGGTTTACGTTGCACGTAATAATATGGATTTAAGGTTCCTAATCTGAGGTATCCGGATGTAGAATCCATTATTTAAGGCGTGACCGGTCAATGTCCGCAGACGGTCAGGGCGCGTCCGCGGGCGTTTCACAGACCGGATTTGCAAGGTCCGGTTGTAGATGCTCTAAGCGACTAAGCATACCAACTCCACGATTTAATTGCAGTGAAGTGATTACAGTTAGCTGTTGCAATCTTGCATGCATACGTCGGATACATGTGCAGTTTATACAAACATGAATGGGTGGTTCGTAAATACTTGTACGTACCCGACTTCAGTTTGCATGCATAATAAACATTTGCAATTCAACCGACTGGCCGTCTAGTAAAAACTGACTCCCAACAGAACGATGTGATTTGGAAGAATTTGGTAGGCTGAATCCCAACAGAATGTGATCGTATCGTCCTTGCTTTCTGTTTGTGGTGAGGATGACTGTGCTAGTGATGGCAACAGCTAACAACACATGAAGGTACGGGAGGGTGCATGATTGTTGTGTTTCTTCTTATTATTTCTACTTTGCTATTCTTCGGTTGTGTGCATCGATTCCAATGCGATGACTTCTTCGCAAAAAGTGGAGGATGGGATCGAAGGACAAGCAGGATTGGAATGATGGGGTGATTCTGTTGCTGGCGTCCAGAGTGAGTGGTAACTTCATTTTGTGCTCTTGTTCGTTGTTCTCAGCTTCTATGGCTTACTGGTTTTGGTAGGCTGTACGTAGCCCTTCGTCGGCTTTGTGTATGTCTCGGGTGTTCATTTGGGCTGAGGTATGCACGTGTGTGAAGGTCGTGTTAACAGTGTTGTTGTAGTTGTCAGTTTTCTTCATTGAAAATTGGGGGAAAAGAGTTGCTCGGTTTGAAAATAAAACAATTTATATATATGTTATATACGTGGCTAGCTGCCTCTCTAGGCCTTTACCCGTCCCTCTCCCTCTCTCTCTCTCTTGCCTTGATAGAATTTGATTCTGCCGTTAGCTGTTGCAATCTTCAGCCCGGAAGCAAACGACGCATGCAGCTGCATGCGTACGTGGGATGCATGTGAAGCTCATCCATACAGGAATGCATGGGTGCTATTTTGGTGTACCCGACTTGTGGCAACCTTTCAAGATCGAGGGAGAGAAGGGAACGGGTCAGATTACAGATGCGTCGTCGCATCACCTCCTCTCTACTACGGTCCCGCTCGGTAAAGTTTATCGGCATGTTAAAGTTTGGCATATATCCTCATGTGCTAAGGTGCAAAGTCATTGTCATTCTGATCTCTATGGGTACGCCTGCCACATTTTTGCACAGGGGCATTCTGGGACAATTCTCATTGGACGACGGAATATCTTCTACAAAAACACATCGGTTTTCTCGACCCACTTTGTTGTTACTTGATTCCGATGGATAAAACCACTATACATCCACGGATTATCTACCATCCTCTGCTTTATTGGAAGCAACACAACAAAATTAAGGTTTTATTTAAATTAATCACATCGAATTTTTATTTTCTACCGGGTTGATGAGAAACGGCATTGAATCTACCTACATCTCCAATAGGTAAAGAGGGTCCTAATCCCACCCCAGGATGTGTAGATTGAGTACGTTCTTCATACTCTACCCCGTTCCAAGACAAAATTTTGGCAACTCCTCCCCCCTATTCCCCGGACACACGCCTAGGAAAAAAGCCGGGAGAATATGCATTCAGAGAACAACGGGGAGGCGCCGCCTAAATCCTGTCTCGGAACGGGGTAGAGCATGAAAACGTACCCAATCTACACATCCTCAGACTGTCCGTGAAAAATGCTGGACAATCTGAAAGAGTTGCGGTGATAAATACACAAAGACACGTATGTTACGCGACTAGACATGAAAATGGAATCGTGACATGAAAAAAAGCAAATGAAGAGATGGATTTGTAACTCACCCTCGACTGTAGAGGATGTAGTCGAACAACGGAGGGATGCTCAAGGACCACAACTCTAACGGCGATCACTCAATGGGGATTTCCCTATTAATAAAGCAAACCAACCAACAAATAAACCAGTTTGCACAATCAACTTGAGTAGCAATTTCAAACAGCACAAGCAAGCGGCAATGGAGGTGTCCATACTCCAATACCAAAAGATGCCTAAACGAATGAATAGAACAAAGCTATATAAGACAACTTTGAAGAGTGAGGACGTTTGGCTGCCGAGAGTCGAATTTTTAATTTTGAATATAAAGGTCTCCATAGAGCTCGGCCTCCAGATGCAATTTCCGAAGATGAGTGAGGACGTTTGGCTGCCGAGAACAATGGAGGCCAAAAAATTTCAAATTTCAAATTTTCTGTTTCAAATAATTCTGAAAAAATATGCATGTATATAAGGATGTAATCTACATGTGCATAGAAATTCACGATGAAATACCTTGAATTGCGACATGTACAAAAAAGGCAAATTCATGGTCTAGTAGGATGAATAGTATCATGTGTTAAAAAGCTTTAGATTTGTCTTTTTTGCACAGCCCATAATTCAACGTATTTCGTCCTGAAAAATGTACGCACTTATGCATTATGCATTTGTCTATCTCTGAATTCTTTTTTTCAGATTGTTTTTGAAAAGTAGAAATATGAATTTTGATGAATTTTAAATTTCAAATTTAAAGGTCTCCATGGAGCTCGTCCTCCAAATGCAATTTCCGAACATTGAAGTATATCCTTATTTAATTTTTTTAGTTTTATCAAGAACACTTGACGCTTACTGTTTTCTTCTCATTCTTTATTAGTCTAGCCAGTAGGATACTACATGCATACTTGATGTTAGGTGGGACTTGCAGCATGAGTGAGTCAATAATAAAGCGCTTGCTTCAGCTACCCAACAAGAAAGAGAGGGAGATGGTTGGATGTGCAACTGCTTTCCCCCGTTATCTGCTCAATGCCGTGACAGCAAAAAGAGTCACACGCCATCTGGCCTCAGCGTCGGCCCGATGGCTGCTGTTGCACACGCCAAGGACGCCGCCAGCGTCACCGTCGAGCTCGCGGACGAGGCGCGCGTCCGCGTCCAGGCCTGCAGCGACTGGATCATCGACTCGGTGGCAAACGGCGGTGACATCTACGGCGTCACCACGGGCTTCGGTGACATCTACGAAGGAAAATGCAGACAATAATGAATAAATAACTCTGAATTTTATATCATGACAGACTGGCAAATGTTTTAGTTGCTTCCAAAGTTTCATTATGGAACGACATTTGTAGGACTCACGGCGAAAAAGATGAGCACCCTACAAAGCTTTCGAAAATAGCTTCTTTTGGATCATCGGTTTTCTTTAGCCACGAGCTCCAGAAATGTTATTTCATGATGTAACCTTATAAGCACTCAAAACATTTGTCTATGTATCATAAAAATACTAAAATTACTTAGATACTTTGTAAAAAAAATAGATTTCCAAGCTCGTTTGAGCTCAAGCTAAGAAACATCAGGAACCCACTAGAGAGTGCATTTTCTACCATGCACGGTATATACTGTGCATTTATCTGCCGCTTAATTATTTCAGGGTCCTAAAGAAATCACAATCTAACCTGCTGTACATTTCACTTTTCTCCACCTTTCTGTCACGTGGTCAGTTTGTGTGTGTCAGCCTTTTTTAAATAGCGTCCTTCCGTTTGAATGCCTCCCACTCGTTGCAACTCTATCCCAGAAATATATTTTCACTTTCTATTTAACGATCTAGTTGCTTGATATCTTCTGAAATAAAAGTTTGTGTTATATTCTATTTGGACAAATATGTTTATACCAAAGAGATATATTAAAAAAGACCTATAGAAAATTGGCCTATGAAAAACTCGATGAAATGGCACATACATCAGTTTTTTACAGTTTCGTAAGGCCTCTCCACGTTTCATATCTGAATTTTATAATTTTTGAAAATATATTCAAGAGTGATCTTATTTCAATGTTCTTTTCACAAGGAACATAAATACGCAAATGTATTGTAAATCAAACTTATGGTTCAAAAGATAAAACAAATATAACTTTTAGAATCATATGAAAAAAACCTGAGTGAGTGTAGTACTACTCGTCTCTACTTTAATTTGTGACTGAGAGGAGAGATATTGCACGTAATAACTACGGGAAAAGGTTGTCCGGGAAAATAGTGACTGATTGATATGAGAGGTGACAAAAATTAATAGAAAGAAGGGGTCATGAATTTGAGGTTAACTAAGCAACACAACGACCAGATGCATTCTTCTTCTTATATGAAAAGGCAGTGCTCCTGCCGGTTCGTAAAAAAAAATCCGAATCTCAAAGATAACCAGTGGCTGATACATGCACGCTACAAGGGAGAATGTATTTTCTCGAACCCACTACCGTCCCTCCCTTTGTTAGCGGTGGCTACTGCCAAAATTGCAGGAGTACTAAAATATGCGCATGGTGTTGAGATGCAAAATTGTATACTCACCTGACAAGCTCGACCTGGAGGCCGTGCCCATCTTTTGTGCGACGGTGAGATGTGCCACCGAAGCCCATGGTGACGCCGTAGATGTCACCGCCGTTTGCCACCGAGTCGAAGATCCAGTCGCTGCAGGCCTGGACGCGGACGTGCGCCTCGTCGGCGACGGCGAGCTCAACGGTGACGCTGGCCGCGTCCTTGGCTTGTGCAATGGCAGCCACCTGGCCGGCCCTCAGGCCGGCCCCCAGGATCCTGACGACAGGCTCACGGAATCACGCCACCATGCGCTTGACCTCGTCGAGGTGGCTGCCGGTGAGCTCGGCCGGCGCGACACTCGAGAAATGCGCCATTTCTTGTTGCTAGTGGATGAGGGTGATGGTTCGGTTGAGGGTAGTGGATGATGAACCGAGCTCTTCTCTTGGAGGGAGCTAAGGCAGATGGTATGCTTAAATAAGAGATGGGGCGAAATTGCCGCTATCGCCGGGCAAGGCTCTCCGCCACGCGATCTGCGTGTGAAACGGCGATACGATGAAACGGGAAGGGAAAAAGATGGTGTGTGTTTTTGGTGTCACGGCATTGAGGAGATAACAGGGGAAAGCGGTTGCACATCCAACCATCTTTTTCTTGTTGGGTAGCCGAGCACTACTAGAAAAAACCTTATACACGGCATCTTAGCAGTAGCGCTGGACAAAACAGGGCGCTACTGCTATTTAGTAGTAGCGTTTTTAAATAGACTGCGCTACTGCTACTATTTTAGCAGTAGCGTGTTTTGCGAAACCGCGCTGCTGCTATATTTGTACTGGGCGCAGATGGCTAGCCCCACTTAGCAGTAGCGCGTACCACTGACAAGCGCTACTACTACGGACTGTAGCAGTAGCGCGTTTCTCTGAAACGCGCTACTACTTACTTACCTTATCCTGAAGCGGTTCACCCTCTTACACTCACTCCCTCTCACTCGCTCTCGCCCGCACCGAACCCGTACATCGTCCGCCGCCGCCACGCTGCTCCTCGCCGAGGTACTCCCCCGTCCT